TGTGTGAGCAAAAGCCAAGGACACTACCCCCCTTGACGTAACAAAGGTTAAGCAGTCCTTACTTGGTAGCTTTTACTTTCAGTGTTTTCATATTGTCAGCAGATTTAAAATTTTCAGAGGAAGGGTTTATCTATTGGACACTTTGGTATCTTTCCCCAAGATAGCACCAATTTAGTGATTCCCCTGAAATAAAGGTAAACGTTGGTCACCCAGAATCTTGAGAACTCAGGGAGATTGAAACATTAGGATGTATTTTTCTAAGTCTCCAGGAAATGTTATATTTCAGCAAAGCTTAATAAAAATCTTTTACTACAAATAGTTTGGAAAAGGAAGAAAAACGCCATTCGTATATTCAATAAATATTTATTGAGGGCTTCCTATGTAGGCGTAGGCCCTGAATGATATGTTGTGAGGCAAAGAGGCAGTTCCAAAGATAAGCCTGATAAGAGACCCTGCCCTCAAGGAATTCATGTGATTCTGAGTGAGGAAACACAGACTTGTAAATAATTATGGTACAGGATATATAATAACCTCTAAGTAAATAAAGACTCCTGACAGATTTCATAAGAGGAAGTGAGCAACTTTAAAAATGTCTGCATCAGCAATTCTATCACTTCATTTTGAATCACAAAGCCCCAGGGCCAATCTTCTTGAGGGAGACCACCTGAATGTAATAACATGAGATACTGAGAAGTCCCTGATGGAAAGTATTCAAACTGAGGCCACCAAGATTCAACAACACCCAGAATCCCGAGGATGGTCTCTTCTATAATAGATGGGACTGTCAGCCCCCCTCATTGAGTCTGGGTCATTGTCTTGCATTTATGAGGTGCTGCGCTTTAAAAACACGTTTCCATCCCATATCTGTTAATTTAATTCCATATCTGTTAATTATGACTCCCAGGACAGGCTGGCACCAGGAAAAGGGCAGCCAGGACACCAGGGTTCTAATTCTGCTCAGCCCTCTCTGATGTAAAATGAGGGTGTTGGTCTCCAGATTCCCTCCAAGGCTCCTTGGATAGCGAGGAGGGCAGGGCCCATTTCATCATCACCATTTTATAGCGAGGGAACCTGAGGTCAGGAGAGCCTGAGGAACAGGCCCCAGGACTCCGATAATAACTGCTCTCCAGCCCTGGAGATTAGCCACCAGGCTTCTACGGACAAAACATTTCTACAGTGTGGTACTCAGAAGCACACCTCCCATTTGTGTGCCAGCAGACAAATAGAGGCCTACATAGCATTGGTCTAAGTATGTGTTATACATCAAGATAACAGACTGATAAAATATGACCCTCCCACCTAGACAAATACCTCTTCCCGAGGACCTGCATGGCCAGGTGTGAACTATGAATTCCTGGACTCTTCCCAGGGCCAGGCTGCAAGGTCACGGGGAAGAAAGAGCTGACTCCAACTGACCCCTCTTCCTGCCCTGAGGAGCGCCTTAAGTTCCAGGTCCAGGCCCTGTGCACACTCCAGCCAAGGCTATTTCTGGGCCCAGGGTGGTGGGTTCCGAGGTCCCCGCAGATCCTGAGAGAGGCTCTGGTACTACCCTGTTTCCCCGAAAATAAGACAGTGTCATATTAATTTTTGCTCCCGAAGATGCGCTAGGTCTTATTTTCAGAGGATGTCTTATTTTCGGGGAAACACGGTACTTAGGATGGGGATTTCAGAATTCTGACGACTGGAGCAGGGGTGGGGACACGGAAGACCCTCGAAATCCTTTGGCCTGGCCCTGCCACGGCATTAGGTGTGAGTTAATTAAAAGTTTGACCATATATAGAGGGCTCATTTTTAAGTTGATAATTCTGTATGGCCCACAAACAGCCCTTGGCAGAAAATAATGTCAACAGTACAACGATTGAAATTTCTTTTGAGAGCCACATGTTTTAAACTTAAACTTCTTCTAACGCCACTTCTTCAAAATAGACTGGCCCAGGCCGTGGCACTTTGTGGAAGAGCCACACTCAAGGGGCCAAAGAGCCGCATGTGGCTCCCGAGCGGCAGTTTGCCGACCACTGAAGAGAGGTCAGGCTCTTTGAGCTGTGGGAAGGGGCTCCTGAGGGAGACCACCTGAATGTAATAACATGAGATACTGAGAGCAGACAGAGGCCGTGGGCAGAGGTCCCTTTTGCTTGTGTCTAAGAGCCAGTCTGATTCCAAGATCTCAAGATTCAGCCTAGGAATAAAATCCGGGAACTCTCTGGAGTAAAGGCAGTGTGGACCATTGGTTACAAGCAGCCTAACACCTGCGACCCTGGCGTGGCTACTCACCCCCTGTGAAATCTCAAACAAGTTACTGAACACTGGAAGGCTCCCATTTCCTCATCCAAAAGCAGACCATTGTTAGGAGGAGAGTAATATAGGGCGTGTAGGAAGGCTTGGCAGAAGTGAAACGCTGGATCAGTGCTGTGAGGTTCTCTCCAGCTGCATTAGATGAACTTGCCTCCAAACGGTTTCTCTGGAGGATTATATAATCATAATGATATCCAAACACTCTGATCACCAAGGTTCAACCCCTCTCTCCACTGCAGAGCGCGGCCAGGCGCAGGGCTGGGCACCAGCCACCCCATCCAAGACTAGGCTGCCGCCCAGGTCTGCAAGGCCCGCAGGTCCCTCCCGCGGCCAAGGACTTGGGGCTGCAGACACGCACGGTAGGAGCTACAGCCAGGGGGGTTCAGAGAAGGTTAACTCACTCGCCAGTGTGGCTGTGAGTCACCGCGGGGCTCAGGAACTGAAACCGTGTTAGCACGCAGCACACCCAACGCTTGGCTCATCCCGGATGATGCGCGCAGCCTAGCCAGTGCAAGTGGCCTGGGATTTAAAAAATAATAATAAAATAAAAATAAATTTAAAAAAAGACAGGACCAGGCGCCAGGGTTGACGCAGCAGCTCGGTCCCCTCCCCTCCCACTCGCCTGGGAGGGAGCTCACGCTAACTTCCTTCTAAGCCTTCTGACAGGTCCGGACATCTCCTTCGCCAGCAGAGAGGGAGACCCAGGGGCAAGTCCGGGCAGCTCGTTCCCTTGCACCTCCCGGGAGAGTGAGCCGAGCCAGGTCTAGCGACTGCGTCTTAGAAATCTTCTAAGGGCAAGCCTGGGCATCCATCCCCTCACTCCTCCTCCGCGTGCCAAGAACTCACAACCGCCCCTTCCCACATCCGAGCCGCCCTCCCCCTTCTGCAAAGGAACTTGGAAAGTTTGCTGATGATGCTGCTGGTGGACCCAGAACTGCTGCAACCAGCCCTTTCTGCTCCCTTTAAAGGACAGTCGTGACTGGGCACCGCGCAGTCATCCTCTCTGGAAAACACCAACAAAAGGGCTATATTTAGCCCCGAGCTCTCCGCCTAAATTCCTCTTATTTTTTTCTGCAAAACGACTCGCTGGGGGGAAGTGGGAGGGAGGGAGGGGGCGGAGGAGCCGCAGAGAAAGAACAGCTGTGCCTCCGCCTCCGAACTCCAGCTCCCTGCAAAGCCAATCCCGGGCGGGAGGTTACTTTTTCAGCCAATGGGGAGGCCCGGCCTGACAAAACCCGGGCGGCGGCCAATGGGAGAGCCCCTCGAGGTGTGAGATCGGCGCCCGGGACCAATGGGGGGGGGAGCCTGGGAGAGGTAATTCGAGCCGGAGAGTGGGTGTGCTGGTGCCAAAGCTTCCTGCTTCGGAGCCCCAAAACCGGCTCTGCCCACTGAGCATGCCCTGACCGGCTTGCGGGCGCTGCCGCCGCCTCCACGGGTGGACCGGGTTGCAACAGAGTCTCCGGGTTTTGGCGCTAGCCCAGTGGGGAGCGGGGTGAGGTGGGGGGGGGGGGGACCCTCCAAGTGCCACAGGGAGAGTGAGCTTTGGTCACCAGTGGTCACTAGAGGCTGCCCCTTCCCTGGACGGAACAGTCATTGAGGCCCCAGGTCCTCATTGTCTTGGTGCTGGAGATGCATGCAGTCTGGGGAGAGTCTGCCAGAAATAGGCAAACGGTTAAAAAAATTAAAAAGCTGCGCCGCGGGTGGTGGCGGATTCTCTCCACCCGCCGCTCCAGCAACCGAATGTCCATTGGGTCTCCGGCCCCAAGAGGCGCAGCGCAGGGAACCCGGAATGGGATCCCGGGGTTTCTGATCGCGGGGAGTCGGCGGGAGCAGAGCCTGCTCCGTGCCCGCCAGGCCTGCACGCTTCTTGCAGAGCCGCCGCCTGATGCGCGAACCCCGAAAAGCGGCCTCCATCGTCCCACCTGAGCTCCCCCAGCCCCCCTCCCCCTCTCCCAACACCTCCGCACCCCGACACCGTGCAGGCGCGCTCCCACCCTGGCTCCTCTCCGGAGTCCGCTCCTCCAGACTCAAATCGCGAGCCCCGCCCCCGGCCCCGCCCCGCCCGGCTCCCCGGAAAACCCGGAGCGCGGAATCCGGCGGGCGCGGAGCCGGCGGCGGCGGCGCACTGGGCATGCTCGCCGGCGGGGAGGGAGGGCCCGGGTGCGCGCGGCGAGTAGGAAGCCCGGGCCCCGCGGAGGCTGCGGGGGAGAGCGCGCTGGGCCGCGGCGGAGGGCGCACGCTCCGCGGGGACTCATGCCACGCGCGTCCCGGCTCGGCGCGCGATTAGCAGCCGCCTCCGCAGCCCGCCGCCGCCGCCGCCGCGTCCCCGCCCTCCTCCCGGGCTGCCGCGGCCAGAAGCTGCTGCAGCCGTCGCCCCGCGCAGGCTGCTGCCGGCATTGTCCTCCCCGAAGTCCGCCGCCCCGGCTGCCGCCGCCGCCGCTGGTGCCACCGCCGCGGGGGACCCCGGACCGGAGCGCCGCAGGGACGCGCTGCCGCCGGCTGGCCCAGGCGCCCGGCCCCGCGTGGTGATTTCTGCGTCCTGCGCTGCCCACCAAGCCACCCGCTCCTAGGATTTTTTTTTTTTTTTTTCCTTTTCTTTTCTTTTCCCTGCGGAGCCGAGGGAAGGGAGCAGTCCAGCCGCCCAGCCTAGCCCATCCCCGGCGCGCAGCCCCGACGGGGGCCGCCTCGGCGACAGCGCCGACGGAGCCATGCGAGAGTACAAGGTGGTGGTGCTGGGCTCGGGCGGCGTGGGCAAGTCGGCGCTCACCGTGCAGTTCGTGACGGGCTCGTTCATCGAGAAGTACGACCCGACCATCGAGGACTTCTACCGCAAGGAGATCGAGGTGGACTCGTCGCCGTCGGTGCTGGAGATCCTGGACACGGCGGGCACGGAGCAGTTCGCGTCCATGCGGGACCTGTACATCAAGAACGGCCAGGGCTTCATCCTCGTCTACAGCCTCGTCAACCAGCAGAGCTTCCAGGACATCAAGCCCATGCGGGACCAGATCATCCGCGTGAAGCGCTACGAGCGCGTGCCCATGATCCTGGTGGGCAACAAGGTGGACCTGGAGGGCGAGCGCGAGGTGTCGTACGGCGAGGGCAAGGCGCTGGCCGAGGAGTGGAGCTGCCCCTTCATGGAGACGTCGGCCAAAAACAAAGCCTCGGTGGACGAGCTGTTCGCCGAGATCGTGCGGCAGATGAACTACGCGGCGCAGCCCAACGGCGACGAGGGCTGCTGCTCGGCCTGCGTGATCCTCTGAGGCTCCCCCGCCGCCGGCCGCCGTGCTTTGCGCACAGAAAAAAAAGAAGAAAAAAATTTAGCCAAACGCGCCCACCGGACTCTCTAAAAATGTGATGATTCCTCTTTCTTGCTCCGCGATCGATCGATCGGAGGCGACTCTGCATTGGCCCGGGGTGTCCCGGGATCCCCGGCTGGCCCTCTGCAGCGGCCCGATGTCCCCTGCCCTCTCCTCCGCCTCCCCCTCCTCCTCCTCCCCGCGCGTCCGGAGGGGGACCGGTCCTGGCCATCCGAGAGCCAGTGGGAATGTGGTTCTTTGCATCGTGTATGTTTCTCATTGATTGTTTTTGGTTGATGCCTGTTTCCACTCCCCACTTTGTAAGTCACCGTTCAGGGTGCTGTGTTGGCAGCTTGACACCAGCGAGCGAAAGTTTCAGCCTGGAAAAAAAAACAAAAAACAAAAAAAACCCTGGGGTGGGGGAGGAAGAGGACAGACAGGGAGAAGGTTGGAAAGAAGGGAGAGGAGGGGGTGTTTTGTTTGTTTTTCTTTTCAACCACCGTTTTCGAGTTCCAAGTTTTAAATACATGGAAGGAAGTCCGGGAGAACCAAATGAAGGAGCAGGAGGAGAGGAAGAAACTTTTGTGTGTGTTTTTTTTGTTTGGTTTTGTTTTTTTCCTTCTTCCAGGAGTAGCTGGAAATGATCGGGTTCCTTTTCTGCCAGCTTGGAAGGGCAGCCCCGTGACTGATTGCGATTCTGAGGATGTCTATGCAAAGTTGGATTCTTGTTTCGGTTGTATCCAATCTGAAGTATTGCACATCGGAACTGGGACTGGTTAACACTGATCTGGTTAACACTGATGCCAGTACAGTGTGGGGTGCCAGAAAGTGTCTGCTGATATTTGTGGAGGGGGGGAGGGGAGAAAAAAAATCTATTTTGTTTACCTACTGTATCTAAGGGGAGTCTGGGGAGAAAAAAAAAACGGTAGTATTTTTTTTTATCAGCTGTGAAAAAAATGTTACAGATCTGCACATTTTGTGTGTGTACTGTTGTGTATGTGTGTGTGGTTGTTTTGTGTGTGTGTGTGTGTGTGTGTGTGTGTGTGGTTTCTTTTAAAGTTTAGCTTTTTATTCTTGTTGGTTGGCAGTAACAGATTTTGATGAGTAGCTCTTTACAATACAGTACAAAGACTTAACAAATGTGATATCAGTGTCTGCAGAGTGCCTTCAAAACTCAGCTGTTCCAGCCGGTGCCAACCTGTGAACTTACCCACCCCAGGACCCCCAGAGTCTGCTATCTCCCCAAACCACTTCCCAGTTTCCTTTCAGCAATCTTCCCCAAGTAGCCAGGACAAGAGGGCCTGTTGTTCTGTGAATTTTTCTTTATTATTCCCAACCCTTAAAATGTAATTTCCATGTCTTGGCAATTTTTTTTTAACTTTATTTTTCTTCGTCCTGTTCAGATGTTCAGGTATTTAGCTCCCCTTTTATATTATTTTAAAAATATATATTTTTCTGGTTGTCTGTTCATAGGGTCTTCCTTCAGAAGCAAAAGAGCAGAATTTGACTGTTGTGATGTACCAAGAGAATTCTAACCGATTGTAATTTTCAATTCCAGACACGTGTGTTTAATCATTGTCTCTTCATTTTAAGACTTTTAATACAGATGTCGTTTTTAAAGAAACAAACCCAAAATGATTGTTTGTGTTTCTGTGTTTTCATAATTCAGTGACTTACTACAGTAGCGTGGCGAAGGTGGACAGGTGCAGGTTGATGGGTGCCTGGTGTCCCCAAAAGTTGGTGGTCAGATTGTGAAGACAGAAGTGTTTCAGTGGCAAGTTGAGTGACATCACTCCCAACTTCTTAAATATGAGGAAAATCACCATGGTCTAGGAAACCCTGGGGTGTGGCCATCTCATCTGACCACAAGATTATTGATTCTCTTCTGCTGGCAGGGAGCCCTGTACCTTATCTCACAGTAGGTGGGGAAGGGAGAAACCACCTGCTAGTACTGTCTTCAATCTGGGAAAGTAACCATCTACCTGGCCAGGCAGGGTAGCAAGTTTGCATTTGTTTAGTTTAAATTAGGTCACATATATACCAAGTCAAAAGGCTATTTGGGGGAAGATGATTTCCATTCCAAAGTCAGACTTACTAGTGTTTTCTGCAGTCATGCCTATAGGCTGTAGGCAGCATCTCAACACTTGAGGTTTTGATTTGGAAATAGGTCTTTATATTTACAAAGTAGAAAACAAAAAAAACTAAGTAAAAAAAAAAACAAAAAACCTTGCTTTCATTACAGATTGTGGGCCATTTTGACCTCATGAAATTTTCCTGCGAACAGTAGGAGGCAGTGTGAGCTTTTTCTGTCTTATTTTTTTCTCAAGGGCCACTTGACTAATAGAACTCGGTAGAATAAAAGGTTTATGGCTATAAACCACGAGCATTTGATATACCATAAGTCTGTGAGTGTAGGTGAAGTTTTCTCAAGGGTCTTTGGACAAAGGGATTTATTCTGTGGACGAAGCCAAAACAAATGACAGGCCACAGGTTTCTTTAAAAGGTGGTATTAACATATCTTGCTTTAAAGTGTGTCTTCTGCCCAGGAGACATCTCAGTATTCCAGGGTGGAGGAAAAATAGACATTTTACCTGTGGTGTTCCTAATACCATTCTTGATCTCACGTTTAGTATTAAAATCAATTAGAAGGTACTAAATATATTCTAAATAGAGAAATTAAGAGAAATTACTCAAATGAGTGCCTTTGCAAAGATTCCTCGAATTTGAGTCCATTGACTTGCTCCAGTAGATCTAAAGTGTTGAAAATTCTGAAGACTTATCAAGTATTATGAAGGATATTTTTTAAAAAGGCATCCATTGACTTTTTTTTAATTTTTTTTTTTTTTTTTTTTTTGGTTTACTTTAGTTTTGTATTTTGGAAGCCTTTTGACCTAACATGGTGCCAACTGTCTAACTTGAGAAATGTATATAACTCCTGACAGGGATTGCTTGAAAATGGAAAATGGGAAAAGAAATAGGTTGTTGGTGCATTAATCATCTCCACATAGGATTTAGTCACTTGCATGACTAAATTCTTAATAAAGTCTAGGATGGCAGAGCAGAAGAATTTAATATGCTTTTCCTGAGCACTGCACAATAAATGCTTTTTGGATTCTCAATGAAAGCAATTCGGTGTGTATTTCTTAGAGCAGGAGAATGGTAGTTCTGAGTTTGGTAGCCTTCTCCATTATGTTCTTGCCAAAATTGAGAGAAGTGAGCGACATTGTTTTTAAGAATATGTCCCTTTATCTGGCTAGCAAGAACCTCTTAGTATTAGGATGTGAAGAGATAAGAGCATTTGTTTCCTTGAAAAAGTTGGGCTGACTTGGGTGTTAAAAGGGAGAGGAGGGTGGGAGGGAAGGTGGGAGGGAGGAGCAGTTTGCAATCACCTGTCAAAACAGAGACTGGATGAGAAAGGAACCTTTATCTTGGGAGGAAAAGTTAACTTAAACTTCACCCCTGCTGTTTTTGTAGCAGCTTTTCCTTTTGGTCCCTGACTGTCATCCAGGCTTTATGTTATGTCAAAGGATTATGTTAGTACTCCTTTTGTAATAGCCTCAGAAAAGCTGAAGGTAACATCCTAAGTCTTGACATTTTTATGTTTGCGAGTTCTATGGTTCTTAGGTAAAACCTTTTCCATGTTAACGGTTGAAATAGACTGAATCACATTTCAGGAAAAGACATGTCTGGGTTAGACTTTACATGTATGTATGAGGCTTTATGCTCCCCGATTAGTTCACCTTTTCTGTAGGTGGGAATCCTAAAATGTCTCATCTATTGGAACTGTTCAGGTAGTTTTCTAATGTTTTCACCATCATCTGTATTTTTATACAGTATTTTTATAGGTGGGATGGCAAAATGAGAGAACATCATATGTAGAGGCTGATCTTGAGTAATAGATGCACAATACCTTTACCTTAACTATCATTAAAGAAAGCATTTTCCACAACATCTGGAGTATGAAGGAAACATTTAATTTTGGAGATCACCACTCTTACTTAGAATGACACCAAACATTTGTCACAGTGTTAGTTAATTGGGAAAAGTTTGCTAACAGGACTTTTGTCCTTGTGAAAAACGTGTCAGATTTTCAAATGCTGCTAATCGAGTGTGGTATTCTTGATTATGTATTACTCAGACTACTAGGAGTAATAGAAAGCACTTAATTGAACATAGTGCTAGTTCTAGAAGATACGTTTGAGCTAATAACAGTAGGATTTTGGTAGTTTGCGAAAGCTTTAGATTTCATCTCTAATCCAGAAATTCTCAAACTTGACCATATATCAAAATTACCTAGAGGTGAAAACAGGTATTGGTTTCTTATTCGATATGTCTGGATATGACCTCATTTTTTTTTTTCTTCTAATTAGTTTCCAGGTGATGGTAATGTTCCAGCACCAACATTTTGAGAACCAAGGATCTAGTCCAATCTCCAAATGAGTACTATATGGACAGCCACCTGATTATTTAGGGATATAAATGAGTACTATATGGACAGCCACCTGATTATTTAGGGACATAGATTTAGTAAGAGTCTTACTAAATCTATGTCCCTAAATAATCAGGTGGCTGTCCATATATTATAGTACTCATTTGGAGATTGGTCTTACATTTTTAGAGTGCTGCCTACCACACAAATAGACTGTTGATTGCAAGCTGATAGCTGAAGATAACATAAACCCTTGACATTAAGCCTGGTAAATTGTTGAGTGTGAAATGGGATAAACACTTTGCAGGTAGAGGGACCATTTTTTGCATTTTGGAAGTGGCTTTCAGTGTTAATTCAGCAGTTGACCAAAATGAGAAACATGTTAAGAATAGGGCATGGCCTACAAACTCAGAATCAACATTTCCTCTGCCTGCCCAATTTTTTTGAAAAAAGAATATCTTTGGTAAAAGGGAATTCTTTTAAGTATGTGTGTTTACTTCAAGATTAAAGGGGAAGAATTTAAACTCTTCCCACT